CCTCAATCTCTCCTTCATACTCGGTGGAATCCAGCAGTGCCACTTTAAAGGGATTGGTTTTAAGCCTTTTGGAGCCTTTTTGAGGAGATTTGAGGTTCCTGTTTAGGGAGGTCCTCTCAGACATGTCCTCTGTTTCTCTGTGTTCATCCAAAAGCTTGGAGTTTTGTTCCTTCAAATTAAAAGTAAACAAACGACACACAAATTATAATTACTGGAACAGCAACTGCAAAAGACTGAACTATAAAGAAAAGAAAAGAATATTTTCGAAACAGAATATTTTGGTTTTCAAGGTGGCTGAACTTTAGAAATATGTGAAATGTGGCAGTGCAAAGTAAGTAAATAAAATTTAACATGTTGCGCAGTGTCGAGAAATCAAAAATAAAATTATACACTATGACATTGCCAGCTATCTTGCATTCCAAAAGTCTAAGTGATTAGATTGAAACCAAGTGTTGATGAGGGTTAGATGTACAACTAATGATTACTCTGAAAATGTAACTAAAATGAGTCACGAGATATTTAAAAAAAATCTTCAACACCAATTGGCACAGCAACATTTCATTTGTATATGCTATGATTAATAGAAATTAATAATAAACACTGTTAGAAGCAGTCTTGCCTTCATTGTTTAAAGCAAATCCTGACTTCAACACATTAGTTGTTCTTGCTGCGTGTCTTTTTTACTTTAGCAAGTAACCAGTTGTAAAATGAGACCAGTACTGACCTGTTTGGCCATCTTGCTGTCAGAGGTAGAGTCCTGCATGTATGCTGCTGCTGCCCCCTATAATTAGGGAGGACTCCTTGCCTCTTGTTTTCACCTCCAACTCAGAACTTGGGCAACAGAAATTGTTTCAGAAAAGTAACACCGATCTGAGAAAAAGAGCAGAAACATGGCAAATGTATCAATATTTTTCCTCAACACAGTGATGAATTCATAATGTTTGTTTTACTGAGATAATATGAAATAGCCACATTTGTCTACATTGCAAATACACTCAGCGGCCACTTTATTAGGGACACCTGTCCAACTGCTTGTTAACACTTAATTTCTAATCAGCCAATCACATGGCGGCAACTCAGTGCATTTAGGCATGTAGACAACGTCAACAACATGAAACCATGGATCCATCCTGCCTTGTATGAACGRTTCAGGCTGGTGGTGGTGGTGCAGTGGTGTGGGGGATTTTTCCTGGCACACTTTGGGCCAATTAGAACCAATTGAGCATCATGTCAACACCACAGTCTACCTGAGTATTGTTGCTGACCATATCCATCCYTTTATGACCACAGTGTACAATTTTCTGATGGCTACTTCCAGCAGGATAAAGCTCCATGTCATAAAGCATGAATCATCTAAGACTGGTTTCTTGAACACAACTATGAGTTCACTGAACTTGAATGACCTCCACAATCACCAGATCTCATTCCAGTAGAGCACCTTTGGGAAGTGGAGGAAAGGGAGATTTACATCATGGATGTGCAGCCGGCAGATCTGCAGCAGCTGTGTGATGCTATCATGTCAATATGGACCAGACTCTCTGAGGAATGTTTCCAGTACCTTGTTGAATCTATGCAATGAAAGATTAAGGCAGTTCTGAAGGCAAAAGGGGGTCCAACCCGGTACTAGCTAGGTGTACCTAATGAAGTGGCCGATGAGTGTATTTCATGGATTATGATAAAAGTTCAGAAAATTGTACAATTACTTTTGTACTCATCACCTTGATCATTTATCATTCATTATACTCAGCAGGTAGCTTACATTTTACTGAACAATGACTTGCCATTTGACATCTTAATTTAAGTTGTGCATCTGTCTTTGGCTGAGACAATATGTATCTAAATACACTGTCAACAATCTGATTCAATAAAGAAACACAACAAACATCTGTAAGGCACGTCTCTAGGCCATATTTTTACGCACAAATGTAGTCTAGTTCAAAGTTAATAAAACTGCCAGCAGCAGACRTGTTTGACACAGAAGTAAAAATAACAATGTTAGTTAAAAAATAAATGTATGGGATCAGTTTCAATGATTAGGACATCTTGATTCTAGTTGAATTCAAAACTGAACTAGCACAGCAGTAGATGTACAGGCAGGTGTTTTCTGAAAGTTTCATTAAAATTTGTTTGGTAGTTCACTTACACACAGTCAAAAACTTGCTTGCTTTTTGTCTTCGACAAGTGATACAAACAAGCATTGTCACCATAGAAAGAAATTCTCACAACAAAACAAATCAGTACTCGTCCACGTTTTCATTCACAAAAACTCAACAGTACAACGTCATTTGTCTGAGAGCTTTATGTGTGCTTATGGTGTGTATTTGAAACTGTGGTGCATTTTATTTAAAGTACTTAAAATTCACATAGTTCGCTGTATCATTTCAAAGATTCAGGTCAGATGGTAGTATAGTAAAGCAAAGACACAAAGTTATAAATTGTTCAGTTTCTTTGTAGGTAGTTATGTAGGTTTATTATTTACTATCTTATTTTACTGCAACATTGTTCCTCGAAATCAGCTGAAAACTTGCTTCAGTTGCAGTTTACAGGTGGCAGAGGAGTATTAACTAACTCCAGGTGAGAGCAGAGAAAAACTAGTTTAGTGGGTTTAGAGAGGTGTGTACTACAGACACATCATAACAGTGGCACGCCAACTRGAACTTTCAGAAGACATATCCACAGTCCATAAATATTCCCCCAAAGGCCCTGTCACACTAATACATTTTACATAACTTATGCTGACATATGAAAATTTTGTCCAATACACTGGCAAATGCTGAAGATAAAATAAAAAAAAATCAACTGGAAGCCTCTTTTGGATGCACATACTGTAATACTAACTAGTCTAACAATCAGGGCTGATAGTATTCTGGCATTGTGCCAGATTTCTGGCTTTACCTCAGGGAAAAATAAATTAAAAATTCAGGTTCACCTGGCTAAAAATAGTTAAGACATTTCTCTCAACCTRTTGGAAGCGCAGCTTTCACTTTAAACCCCTTAGACAGGCCAATCAGAAATCAGGTGGGTAAGATATCTGCAAAACTTTGATTCAGATCCAGCAGAAATTCGAGCGGTGCTCAAAATAAATGAAATTATTTGTTAGAATGGGTTTGACAAACAACTGGAAACAACATTGAAGCTGACAAATTTTTAAAACCCAGTCAGCAAAGAAAACCTGGCAGGAGGATGTTTACTGATTCCTCTACGTGAGAGAGGCGAGCCACGCAGATGGATGCTAACGTTAGYTAAAGTTAGCTGAATAGTAGCAAACAGGTAGAACCGGAGAAGAAAGGAGGAGCAAAGGAGCAGACAGAAAAAACATCTGATGAATTTTATAACAGGCAACAACAAACGACAACATCCACATGTGTACAAAGAGAAAATGAGACAGGTGTTGTGCAAAAAGTTAATTTACCTGCTGCGGCACAGGAGCCCGCAATCTGTCTCTGTATAATTGAATGTTTGTTGCTTTATTTCTTGGAATTGAAAAATATTAACACTAAAATATGAATATTAGTTGTAACAAAGGTGTGTCCGTTTATGTTTTGATTTTTTTTTTTTCATTCAAAATCTCTGTTCTCCCTGTGACGGAATTAGTTTTTAGTTCAATATAAATACCAGCTGTTTACAGTAATATACCGTATTATTCTACTATTTAAAACAGGCCATGACAGAGTGGAGAATGCAGAAATAACTCAGCCTGCAACTAAAATGTGGATGTAGGACCTCAGTGACATGAGAGGAGAATGTGTAGTCTTAACTCATGGTACTTACTTTATCTTTGAATTATGTTAAGATTAAATACAAAATACAAATAAAAACAAGAGACATTTAGATTAGATTTAAATCCATAGATTTGTACACCATATACTCAAATTTTAAATCACGAAAAGTCCCATGAGCCTTTGCTGCCCAAGCATACATTGACTTTTCTCAATGTACATGGGCTGAAAAAACCCTCCAAACAAAACAAAAGAATGTGGGCAACCACACTTGATACTAGCTTAATCCTAAAAAAAATAAAACAACTTTACTTAAGCATTTCTTATTTTATTGCATTTGGCCTGCGGCCCTCTGACTGATTTTAATTTTGGCCCTCTCAGGGAAAATATCTGGGCCTCAACCATGACGGTGAACAATCTTTGTTTTCAGCTCATTTGAAAGTTGTTTTGAGACTCCCATGCTGCGACTCTTCAGAGAAGATGCAAAGAGGAGAAAAACTTACTATTGCCCCCCTTTAAATACCCTCTCATAATTGGAGTCACCTGTGTATGGAGGTCAAGGGTCACTGAACTTAACAAACCAAAGT